ATAAAATAAAAAACTTGTTGAAGTAAATAATTTTTTTTAAAATTCCAAATAACATTTTAATATGTTGTTTTCTCTTTTAGATATCATATCTTCATAATAACTAAAAAAACCCTATCCAGTTGGTTGATACACACTGCCATCCATCTTAGGAATTAGTGTGTACCAAGTATAAACAAATTATCAACTAGTTATAGTGTAATTTTTAAATGTTTTTCTGTATTGTTTACATAACTATCTTGATTTTAAATAATTTTTTCACAAACCACATTAATTTTATTTTATGTTAAAAAAATGATAAATTAAATTACAAAGAACACTTCTTGTATTTATTGCAAATAGGTGAATTAATTAATACAACCATGTTAACTTTCTCTTCTCAACACTCAATCATCTCATGACTCAAAACTACCAAAATACACCACCTCGATTTGATCGTTCCTTCCTCTCTCTCTATCTCCTTAAACTTTCTCTCTCTAGAGCTTGCCAGTAATGGCAGTGCATCAGTGGCAGTGCAAGGAAAGGGGGAGAGAGTTGTCATTGGGAAGGTAAAGACCTCCCTTTTGCACCAATTTTTCTTTCACAAGCTTCTCTACAGTCTACTAGTATCCACACCACCACTATGCCCTCTCTATAACCACTACAAACAAGATAAACATCACATTATCATTAAATTAGCAGGCAGTATCTCGCGTGCACTCTCTGAAATCTCTCTCTCTCTTAGAAACACGCTGTTGATGAACAAAGAAAAAGATAAGACACCCATTTTCCAAAGACCTAATCAGTCCTTTTTCCCTTTGGCTTTCATTGAGATCGTCATGTGAATACTTGGACTTATACTAGTACATAGGTGTTTCAGTAAAAAGAGCTGAAAAATACCCCTTTTGTAAGCTTAAAACTCGGGAGAAGCCCTCTCTCTCTCTCTCTCACACACCCCCACACCCCCACACCCAACCCACAAAGACAAATACAGACACCAAAGAACTCACTTCTCAATTATGCACGTATCTTTGCACAGGAACTTTTGAGGCACTTAGAGAGAGAAATGGATGGTCATGCTGGTGGTGGTGGTGGAGGTACATCATCTTTGATGGGGTTTGGAGAAAATAATAGCCTCAATCGAAGCAGTAATGGTGATAATAATAACAGCATTGGATCGCTGTGTCTTCCTCCTCCTGTTATATACAACAATACCCTGATTTTTTCCACTCAGGATCATCATCATCACCATAACAACTGTGGCACTTCAGCTTCTGCTATGATGCTTGAAGACAACAACAATAGCAACATCAACGATGGAGGCGGCTTAGGCTTCATCTCCTCATCATCGTCATGTTCTTCGTCTGTTAAAGCGAAGATCATGTCTCATCCTCATTACCCTCGTCTATTGTCAGCTTATCTCAATTGTCAAAAGGTATATATATCTTGAAAACCCTAATCCCTCTCTTCAGGCTTCTAGCTTCTTAGTATGAGATTAGTTGATTGTCTGTTCGTATACTCTTAGAAGAAAACCCAGAAGTCATTTTCTTCAAAGATTGCGTTTTAAGAAGAATTTGGGAGTTGAAACCAATTTGTTATCTTTTCCCTATATTTTTTGTCTTATTCATGTTCGTGTGACTGTTTCTTCTTTTGGTAGGTTATTAGAGACCCTCCTGAACGGAGAACATTTGTAATACAAACCCAGAAGTGGGTTTCTTAGATTTGTGTGTGTGCGTATGACATCAGTTGTTTTTCGTCATTTCTTCATTTGGTATGAAAGTATAATTTCTGGAATATAGAAAACCCTATTCATTCCTACTAAAATCTTCAAGCTTTTAGTAAGATTCAGGTAAGAGTTTTTAATGAAGGTTATAATGGCAAGTTCATTTTTTATGAAATATAACAGATAGGAGCACCACCTGAAGTAGTGGAACGACTAGAAGAAGCCTGCCGAGCATCGGTGATGATGGCTGGTCGTGCCAGCACCGGTGGTGGTGGTGGAGGTATGAACACAACCATTGTCGGACAAGATCCGGCTCTTGATCAGTTCATGGAAGCTTACTGTGAGATGCTCATTAAATATGAACAAGAACTCTCAAAACCCTTCAAGGAAGCCATGCTTTTTCTCTCAAGAATCGAGTCCCAGTTCAAGGCTATCTCTTTTTCCACCTCAGATTCTGGTGCACCTTCCATCTCTTTCTTCTGTGTACATATTTATATATGTGTGTGTGTGTGTGTTTGTTTGTTCTTTGATCTATTTTATTTTTATTATTATTACTCTTTTTATTTATATTAGAAAAAGGAAGACATTTTGTGTTCCAATGTCTTGGAGAAAAGTATTTATCGTCCTTAAATGTGCTGATTTGCATTTTAACTTCGTTGTTGCTTACATGGACTAGGGCTCAAGCAATCTCCCATCATCTTGGTTAGCTTTTCAGCACATACAGGGCAATGTAAAAATCAGACCTAAACCAACTGGTGAAAAACCGATTTACGACAATCCGCTGACCGGTAGTTGAGAAATCCACTTACGCCATGTTTGGCATCCATAAGCTCTGGCTTATATTTTGAATTTTATTTAAAAAACCAGGTATAATTAGTCATAAGCTACTTTTTTGAAGAACTATTTCAAGTAGCATTTTAACATGTCAAGAGTGTTTTTTTTTTCACTTTTTTCCAAGCATGCTCCTTCAATTTTTCCGGTTAGTTTTTCAACATGTCCCTTAGGTCAATTTACGTTGTTTTCTAGCTTCTCAGCTAGTTTTTACGAACATAGCCTTCAACCCAGTGACTAGTACTTCTATGGTAACATATTTTTTGTAATTATTTAGTAATATGTGTTATTTTTTTGTTGATAAATTAAAACATCAACTTTTGTAAACCACTGGTTTGTTTCGGACTCCTTTTGTGATTTCTCTTTAAAAATTTAAGACGCTAATTTTCCTCCGTGTTTTATTGGAGCTACTTAATCCGTTATGTGGTATTAGTTATCATATTATTATTTTATATGAAAACTTGATCACTGAATTTTAAAGTCATGGTTCAATAAATAGTCTTCTGTTCGTAGTTGAATGATATTAGAACTGTATATCTAACTTGTGACTTTTCTAGCACAGTCTGGGCTTATAAACACTGGGAAATTGCAAGTATTACCAATGGCCATGTCTGCTATTTAATTAATGCACCGTTCTTTATGGCAAAATCTTGAGTTAAATTTGCAAACATTCTTGATTCTGCTGTTGCAAATTTCCATCATACTGCTTCTGTTTGAAACATTTATTATGTGTATATGTGAACCGTATTCTAGACATTTAATTAATAGTATAAGACTTGTACTAAAAATATATATGTGCTGCAACAAGCATTGCAATATTCCTCTTTAGCCGCGTACTTTGATGTTACATTTTCCCTGATGAAATAGATTACAACTATACTAGGGTTTGATGTTGAACTTTCATCTAAAACTCGGTGTCAATACTCTTGTTAATTTATCTGAGTCATAAAACTGCTTTCTTTGAAACTTGTACTTCTGTGGTGATCTAATGGAAAAACAGCTTGTGGTGAGGGAGGCATGGATAGAAACGTTTCATCTGAAGAAGAGGTGGATGTCGACGTTAATAACAATATGGTTGATCCTCAAGCTGAAGACCGGGAACTGAAAGGTCAGTTACTCCGCAAGTACAGCGGGTATTTAGGAAGTCTGAAGCAGGAGTTCATGAAGAAGAGAAAGAAAGGGAAGTTGCCTAAAGAAGCTCGCCAACAGTTGCTTGACTGGTGGACCAGACATTACAAATGGCCATACCCTTCGGTAAAATAAGTTTCACTTCAATGCATGGGTTTTTCTTGATTAAAATTGCTAGAATTTCGTTGGACGTGCAGCTTGTGTTTTATTTCGATAAAGTTGCTTTCTACTAAATATCTCATGAGAATCATAGCAAAATATATGAAATGATCAATCAGAACTTTCATTGGTTTTTTCAATTGCATGATGTGGCTAAAAAGCTTTGTTGATCACATACTTGTATCCTCTCAATTACTTAATCGGTCCAATTGACGTGGGATCTGCTAAATCTTACTGGTCAATAGCTGATTAAAATCCCTCAGTTTTGTCTTCAGTATATTTGATTTGTATGATGATTGAAAGAAATGGATGCGGTTTGATACAATTGTGAGGATCAAGGAATGTGCTTGATAAATTTTTTCCTCTTGATATGAAAATCTGAAAGCAATGAAAGTTTGGTGTTCCATTTATCCATTTCATCTATTTTCCTGATAATTTTACATCGCCGGAGGAGTATATCATTTCATTTACGCCATTTACCTCGATTCTCATTTTGTGGACCTCATCTTTAGATAATATGAAGTAAAAAGGACTCTCACAAGCATGTTTTTGTTTCTCATGGTACATGGAAATGTTAAATGACTAAATATGAATAGAGCATCTTCTCATGTGGCACAAGCAGGTTCCCTTCCATAACATGTATTGAAAACATCATGCTGCTGCTTTTAGCATCCAAAATGACAATTATATATGGTTACCGCCTTGCTGGATAAAAAATCAAGCACAATATATATGGAGGAAAGTTCATTTAGGAACCATAAATATTTTGGAAACCGAGGAACAAATATTCATAATGAATATAAATAAACATGCATATTCATCATGAATTTTTGGATATTCATGTTCTTGAAATATTTAAGGTTCCAAAGTGAATGTGTCTATTGATGAATTCTTTGGCTTGACACCTTGTGCAAGTAAAGATTCAGATAGAGAAGTGGATGAATACTTGAAAACGCATAAAAATCTCATTTATAACCCTTCTCTAGCGACTTCGGCATCATAACCAAGGGTTTCCATATGCTTAGATTTCTTTATTTTTTGATTTCTTTCGGGGCAATGCTGAGTCTGATGAATTCTAAGAGGATAGTCAAGTTTAGGGTTTTTGTTTCTAATGATATCTGAACGTATTCACAGGAAGCTCAGAAGTTGGCACTAGCTGAATCCACAGGGCTAGATCAGAAGCAGATAAACAACTGGTTCATAAACCAGAGGAAGCGACACTGGAAGCCATCTGAAGATATGCAGTTTGTGGTAATGGATGCTGCTCATCCTCACTATTTCATGGACAATATCTTTGGGAACCCATATCCCATGGACGTATCTCTTCTCTAAATATATATATATATATATATATATATATATATATATATATAAAATAAAAACTACTAGCGTATATAAGATCATCTGAAACTGATGGCAAGGAGTTAATGCTTGCATGCTAGTGTGTGCATGTTGCTGTTAACGATTTCATTAGCTTAATTGTTATCTAGAAGTCATATAAGGATTCTATATATGTTTAAGGAGTGCAGATGCAGACAGTATTAGTAGTAAGCTACTATATATATATATATATATATATATATATATATATGTATCTCTCTCTTTGATTAATATGTTGAGTTTTTTATTTTTCATAAAAGTAGCCATCCTTGTGCCTTGGGACTTGTGAATATGTTAGTTTTTTGAAGATGCATGGTCTCACGTACGTTGGTTACTATTGCTAGAAGTAGGTAGAACAACAGACGGTTATGGTGGGCCACCAATGGTGGCTATGTAGCTACAAGGAATGATGGTGGTAGAAGCACCAACTTGGCTAGGGTGCATCGATGGTGGTCAGAGTTGCAGCTTAACAAAACGTAGTGTTCGTCCATGGTGGTCGTAGGAACTGGTCTTGAAGGTTATAAAATTAAAGTTACTAAAATAAAATATAAAAAGCTAACAAAATTAATAATTATGTGTTCTGATAATTAATTAACAATTTTGTATTTTCATTTTATTTTATATAGAATGAATTACATTAATCCATCTATCTTGAAACCTCCCATTATTTCAATTTAATTTCACCACTAGTCCCTAGCCTTCGATATCCGTTAAGTGCTCTCATTTGCTAGTCATATGAGGGGTGTTCTGGTTTTTCTACAAATTTTTTATAAACTAATTTTAATGTACAAGTATCAATAGCTTAAGTACAAGTTGCAAAACATCTTTTCTCAATTACCCCCACCTTCCACAACATCCCGCCCCCAATCCGCCAACCCTACCGTACACCCCCTCCCTCCCATTGAGAACCGCTGCCGCCACCCCTACCCCCACCATCTACCTCAAGATCGGGAATAAATCAAGGTTACAGTGACGGGACCCCAAATCGAAGCACGGAAAAGAAGATCGGACCAAGACCATAAAGAGGGAGGGTGTGGTTAATTAGGTTTATTTTGTTCTTTTAATGTTGTTTTTCAACTTTTTGCAAGTTTATATTAAAATTTTAAAGATCCTTGCAAAATGACTAAAAAACCGCATGTGAGGGAATTTAACGGAAATTAGGGTTAGAAACGATCCATGCAAGCAAATTGAAACGATGAAGATCTGGTAAGAAACAAGAACAATAGTGACGATTGGTAGAGTTTCAATATATTTGAGAACGATTTATGCAAATCACTCTTAATTAGATATATTACATAATATATATTTTAATAATCTACCAAAAACAAAATACTGAAAAACATGTTACTTTAAGAATGTGCATTTTTGTTGAAGAACCAAGTTTTAATAAGATGGTGAAGAAACTCAATTAAGAAGGAAGCATGGGTGCATGTCTATAGTTGGTTCTCATCCTTGACATGAAGTGAAAGCTTGACAAGACCATCCTTCTTAAACAGTCTCTCTCTCTCTCTCTCTCTCTCTCTCTCTCTTATTTGTTTTACTTTAGGTTTTTTTCTTGATTATTTAGAGCATCTCCTTAATGACTTATTGAAATGTAAAAGGTTTTTGAACAAAGTTATTTTACTTATTAAAGAATTTTTAATCAAAAGCTTAGATCATCTTTAAAAAAAAACCCTCTATTTCCTCTCTAAAACATCTCTCTCTTTTACTCTCTATAATAAAGAAATGAATAGTAACTTTTTGAATATAGAGAGACACTATTCATAATCTCTTTTTTTTTTCTTCTAAGCTTTTGATGATTACAAAACGGTCCTTCAATGTTTAAGATTATTGTATTTTTATTTTATTTGTTGTCTAATACCCATTTTGATAAATAAGAATTATATTTATCTTTAAGTTCTAAATTCAATTCAAGGATAAAGAAGCTCACTTTATACTTCGAAATGCGTTAGTTGATCATTTATGGAAAAAATGTGCTAATTCCGACTAAGTACTTATGTATTTTAATTTTATATGTGTGGTCAAAACGTAACATTTTTATTTAATGAATTTGGTTTTTGATATTTTAATTCAAAATTAAATATGAATTATAACATCGTTAAAATAACATATAAAGTTAATAAATATAAGGTTATTGTGAAAATAAAAAATATAAAGATATAGTTTATAAAATTAATAAATATAAGCTTATTATTGAAAATATATATAATCAAAATAGAAGAGAATATACTTGAAATTTTCTCTTTTAGAGTAGAAAATAGAGTAATATATTGAATAATGCATAATTTATTTTTTACTCTATAATCTTTATATATGTTAAAAAAGAAACCACTATGTATGATGTAGTTTTTTCTAAAAGCTAAGAGCTCCTTTATCTTTTATCTCATATTTTTTATTTTTTGAAATATTAATCAAGTTAAAGACTATTATGCCCCTGTAGGAAAATTGAATGTTTCATGATAAATGATATTTTTTGGTAATTTTGCATTTAACTTAAGTTTAACCTCCCAAACTATTCAACTTGTTGATAGGCATTCAACTTAAGCTCAACCTCCTAAACTATTCAACTTTTTTGATAAACATTCATTTTATTCTTTATTGCAATTGATTTACCTTCTCCATCTCTTTATTTCTCAATCTTTTCATCTCTATTTAATTTCGGCATAAATTGTTATCAAGAAACAATTGATTATGTTCTTGAAAACATTCTCACATGCACCCAAGTTCCAGCCAGGACTACTTCATAAAGGAAGATTAGTATTGTGAAGTTTTGACGAGAATGGTAATTTTATATTTTATGTCCTTTTCTCTCGGTTGCTTTAATTTTGACCTCTCCTTCTCTTTATTTCTCAATCTCTTCATCTTCATTTAGTTTTGGTATTCAAGAAACAATCGATTATGTTTTTGAAAACATTCATACGCACCCAAGTTCGACCTGGACTACTTCATTACGGAAGATTACTACAGTGAAATTTTGCTGAGAATGATAATTTATAGGGCAAAATGCACAAAATAACAATCTACTTTCATAAATTTCTTTATTATAGCATTGTACTTTCAGTTTTTCTTATTACAACAATGTACTTTCAAACTATTTTTTATTAGGACATTGTACTTTGAAAATTTTACTCATTATAGCATTAGGTAACCTTTTGTTTTAAATTTACCCATTATACTAGGTTTCCATGCCACCTCATTGTCCATATAGGCTGTCCACATGTACTATAGTGATGTGACTTTCTTATTACATTATTGTACTTTCAAAATTATTTTATTATAGCATCTACTGGTTCTTATTAAACACTGTATTTTTAATTTTAATATTTTATTTTACATGTTATTTAATAAATGTATTAAATGAATTAAAAAAATTCTAAATTATTCATTAATATACCAATATCTATAAAACTAGTAGAACATAACTTATCTCGCTAACATTTTTAAAATATGTGTTTTTTGAAAAAAGGAAAATAAGAATTATTTATTTTTTTTACCAAAAAATGTTATCTTTTAAATAATATATTATATTTATTCAAAAACTTTTTACTTGACGTATAAATATATTAAATTAATTAGACTTTTTTGAATTATTTATTAATATAACAATATTAAAAAAATGTAGATACCAATTTATTTCGTTAATATTTTAAAAAGAACTTTAAAAGATATGTATTTATTTGAACAACATAAAATAGGAAAAGTTACCTTTTTTTACAAATAAAATATATCTCGAAAATGGTGATTCATATTTATTTAATAAATATTTTACTCCAAAAATATTTAATTTGAATGCAACTTAATAAGAAAAAGTAAAAAAAATTAAATGTTTTTTAGATCATAGCAATAAAAAATGAAAATCACTAATAATAATTTGAAATAAAATTTTATTTTAATTTTAGTTAAGTCATCAARATGATGTGWCATCCACATCACCTCATTAAARYCACACAAGCAAAAAAGTCAAAGGGTTAACCGGTTTAAAATGTAACAGGTTACTCATTGCTATTATGGGTAGATTTTTTAAAGTACAATGCCTTAATAAAAAATAATTTGAAAGTACATTGCTGTAATAAAGAAAAACAAAAGTAGAATGCTATAATAAGAAATTTTATGAAAGTAAGTTGTTATTTCATGCATTTAACCCTAATTTATATCTTTTTATCCTTTTCTCTCGGTTGTTATAATTTTTGGTCCTCATATTCTTTCCTACACACGAATACAAACACTTTGTTTAAATGTTCGAGTGCTTTTTTGGTTTGAACTCACATTAACAACATTCTCTATCCTAAAGAGGATAAAGATAAAAAAAATCTCCTTTATGTTTTCCGCAACTGTGTTCATTAGGTGAAGTTTCTTTTTTACTCTGCTATATTATCATGTACCTACCTATGCAAATTGTAATTTTTTTCTGTCTTAAATTTTGTATTTTTGTAATTTAAAATAAATTATTTGTAATCCAAAGTGGGTTTATTAAGTTTTGCAAAAGTGTTAATCAAGTGTTGACAAAGGTTTCACGAAATAGTTCACTTTCCAAGCTCAAACAGTTTTTTTACAACATTCTCATTCAGGAACATGGTCGTAAAAGTATTGCCAAAAAAATTAATATTGACTTTTGTGAAAAATGTTAAACTAAGAAAATACAAAGTAAATAAAAATAAAAGTTTTTAATTATATTAAATAATGTGTAAATAATAGTTATTATAAATAAAAATAGAAAATGAAAGAATTAATCATTTAGTGAGGACTTTTCAATTTAAACTAAATAAAATAATGAAAAATTAGGTGAATCATTTTATTTTTATAGCTGAAGACTTAAAATACATTGCTATCATATCATTTAACTTTTTTAATTTAAAAGGAGCTTGATGTTGTACAAAATGTATTTGCGTGTTTGCATTATATACATATATGTTATATATGGCTATGATTAAGTTGAGTTCCTACTTTAAACA